ACTTTGGGAGGCTGAGGCAGGTGGATCACCTGAGGTTGGGAGTTCGAGACCAGCTTGACCAACATGGAGAAACACCGTCTCTACTAAAAATACAAAATTAGCTGGGCGTGGTGGTGCATGCCTGTAATCCCAGCTACTCGGGAGGCTGAGGCAGGAGAATCGCTTGAACCTGGGAGGCGGAGGTTGTGGTGAGCCGAGATCATGCCATTGCACTCCAGCCTGGGCAACAAGAGCGAAACTCTGTCTCAAATAAATGGTAAAACCTATGTATGTGGTGCCTAAGAAATACCAATTGAATGATTAGAATGTCGATAAACTGAGGTTTGTAAAGTACAGCTCTGATTAAGTGCTCACCATACATGTTAGATATTTCACATCAGCACAGCCTTTTGGGGTGAAGAGGTTGCTGGGGGTTAAGATCCCAGTTTGAGAGATGTGGAACCTGGACCTCACACAGTGAATCATTTGTCCAAGGCCACGTGACCATCAAGTGACTGGAGTGCAAACTCTGCCTCGATGCTGGTGCAGGCTTGCTCGGAGTCCCCACCCTGCCATTTCTCCCCATGGCATGCGTCTGATGGCTTCTGTGGCATGGCTCAGTATCCACAGGGCTTCCAGTTGGCCACCATGGTAGAGAGGAGATGCTGGTGGTCCACAGTGGAGCAGGCCAAGCAGTAACCCTAGAGGGTCCCATCTGCGTGGTCCAGTGAAGGCTGGCTGCACACAGAGAGCCTTTTTCTTTTTTTTTTTTTTTTTGAGACGGAGTCTCGCTCTGTCACCCAGGCTGGAGTGCAGTGGCCGGATCTCAGCTCACTGCAAGCTCCGCCTCCCGGGTTCACGCCATTCTCCTGCCTCAGCCTCCCGAGTAGCTGGGACTACAGGCGCCCGCCACCTCGCCCGGCTAGTTTTTTGTATTTCTTAATAGAGACGGGGTTTCACCGTGTTAGCCAGGATGGTTTCGATCTCCTGACCTCGTGATCCGCCCGTCTCGGCCTCCCAAAGTGCTGGGATTACAGGCTTGAGCCACTGCGCCCGGCCGAGAGCCTTTTTCTTTTTCTTTTTTTTTTTTTTTTTTTGAGACAGAGTCTCGCTGTTGCCCAGGCTGCAGTGCAGTGGTACGATCTCAGCTCACTGCAAGCTCCACCTCCCGGGTTCACGCCATTCTCCTGCCTCAGCCTCCCAAGTAGCTGGGACTACAGGCGCCCGCTACCATGCCCAGCTAATTTTTTTTTGTATTTTTAGTAGAGATGGGGTTTCACCGTGTTAGCCAGGATGGTCTTGATCTCCTGACCTTGTGATCCACCCGCCTCAGCCTCCCAAAGCACTGGGATTACAGGCGTGAGCCACCACGCCCGGCCACAGAGAGCCTTTTTAAAGTTGCTTTTTCAGGGCCTGAAATCTGGTGTGGAAAATTTAATTGCATACTATCTGAAACTTCCCAACAGCTGAAACATTGGTTTGGAAATGTGTTCACTCCCTGAAAATCTACTTGCACCCCATATATCTGTCCCATCTCACATATTCTCAGCCACGTTTTTTTTTTTTTTTTTTTTTGAGACGGGGTCTCATTCTGTTGCCCAGGCTGGAGTGCCGTATGGTAATCTCAGCTCACTGCAGCTTCCTCAGGTTCAAGCGATTCTCCTGCCTCACTCAGCCTCCTGAGCAGCTGGGATTACAGGCATGTGCCACCACACCTGGCTAATTTTTGTATTTTTGGAAGAGATGGGGGTTTTACCACGTTGGCCAGGCTGGTCTCGAACTCCTGACCTCAGGTGATCCACCTTTCTCTGCCTCCCAAAGTGCTGGGATTACAGGCTCGAGCCACCGCACCCGGCCTCTCTCAGCCACCTTGACTCCTGCCATTGTGGCGGCAGCCAGCTCTGCACAGGTATGAGTGTCCTGGCAGCACCCAGCATCAGCCTCTGTCATCTTTAGGAAGCTGCGAGGCACTCAGGCATATGTAGCCTTGAAGCATGTGAATGGTAACACCATTTGGGGCCACGCTTCACCTGTGGGACATGGAGCCAGTAGACACAAGCTGTCCTCTTCTGTCCCTGGCGTGGACAGTTCTGAGGCATACTTTATTCGGCTTCTCAGAAGGTGCTACGGTTTGGATATGGTTTGTTGACATTTGGCCCTCAGTCTGGCAGTGTTGGGAGGCGGGGCTTTGTGGGAGGTGTTTGGGTCACACGAGTGGATCCCTCCCGGAGGGCTTGGCACCTCTCTCCGGAGTGAGTGAGTTCTTCCTCTTGTGGGAATGGATTAGTTCCCAGGAGAGCAGGTTGTTATAAAACCAGGAAGCCCCTCGGGTTTGCTTCTTTACATGTGTCTGCTTCCCCTTCAACCTTCTCCACCATGCTATGAGGCAGCAAAGAAGCCAGGCAGATGCTGGCACCATGCCCTCGAACTTCTCAGCCTGCAGAGCCGTGAGCTACATAAACTCTTTTCTTGACTGGCGCAGTGGCTCACGCCTGTGATCCCAGGACTTTGGGAGGCGAAGGCAGGTGGATCACGAGATCAGGAGATTGAGACCATCCTGGCCAACATGGTGAAACCCTGTCTCTACTGAAAATACAAAAATTGGCCGAGTGCGGTGGCTCATGCCTGTAATCCCAGCACTTTGGGAGGCCGAGGCGGGCAGATCATGAGGTCAGGAGATCGAGACCATCCTGGCTAACTCAGTGAAACCCTGTCTCTACTAAAAATACAAAAAAAGGCCGGGCGCAGTGGCTCAAGCCTGTAATCCCAGCACTTTGGGAGGCCGAGACGGGCGGATCACGAGGTCAGGAGATCGAGACCATCCTGGCTAACAGTGAAAACCCGTCTCTACTAAAAAATACAAAAAAAAACTGGCCGGGCATGGTGGCGGGCACCTGTAGTCCCAGCTACTCAGGAGGCTGAGGCAGGAGAATGGCATAAACCCGGGAGGTGGAGCTTGCAGTGAGTTGAGATCCGGCCACTGCACTCCAGCCTGGGTGACACAGTGAGACTCTGTCTCAAAAAAAAAAACAAAACAAAAAAATTAGCCGGGCGTGGTGGCGGCCACCTGTAGTCCCAGCTACTTGGGAGGCTGAGGCAGGAGAATGGCGTGAACCCAGGAGGCAGAGCTTGCAGTGAGCTGAGATCGCGCCACTGTACTCCAGCCTGGGCAACAGAGCGAGACTCCGTCTCAAAAAAAAAAAAAAAAATTAGCTGGGTATGGTGGTGCGTGCCTGTAATCCCAGCTACATGGGAGACGGAGGCAGGAGAATTGCTTGAACCAGGGAGTCGAAGGTTGCAGTGAGCCAAGATCATGCCACTGTACTCCAGCCTGGCAACAGAACAACACTCCGTCTCAAAAAACAAAAACAAAACCAAAAAAACCTATTTTCTTTATAAATTACCCAGCCCTAGGTATTCTGTTATAGCAACATGACATGGACTAAAACAGAAGGTCCCCACAAGATCAAGCCCTGGGTAAGAGACCCAGGCTAAGGCACTAATCAAGAAGCCTGTGGCTCCTCTGGACGATTTTTCCAGGAGGATGTGGGATTCTCCATGTCCACTGACATGGGCTGAATTGTGTCCCCTCCTTAAATGTCTATGTTGAAATCTTTATTTTTTTTTTGAGAATTGTGAGTGCACCCAGGCGGGATTGCAGTGACGTGAACATGGCTCACTGCAGCCTCAACCTCCTGGGCCCAGGCAATCCTCCTATCTCAGCTCCCCCAAGTACCTGGGACTACAGGTGTGCACCACCACACCTGGCCAGTTTTTGTATTTTTTTGTAGAGATGGGGCTTTGCCATGTTGCCCAGGCTGGTTTCAAACTCCTGAGCTCAAATGATCCACCTGCCTCAGCCTCCCAGAGTGCTGGGATGACAGACATGAGCCACCATACCAGGCCCCTGCATTGATGTTCTAACTTCCAATGTGATAGGATTAGGAGGCAGCACTTTCGGAGGGGTTCTTAGTTCATGAGGGTAGAGTCCTCATGAATGGCATTAGGACCCTTCTAAGGGGGCCTCACAGAGCTGCCTCACCCTCTTTCTGCCATGTGAGAATGCAACGAGAAGACAGCAGTCTGCAACCGGAAAGAGGGGCCTCACTAGAACCCAACCATGCTGGCACTGTGATTTCGAACTTCAGCCTCTGGAACTGGGAGAAATCAATTTCTGCTGTTTTGAAGCTGCCCGGACTATGGTATATTGTTAGAGCAGCCGGAATAGACCAATACGGGCATATCTTTCCAGCGGAGAAATGGAACTCTTCTCTGGTGATAACAAACCAAGAATACAGAGAGTCATAGGACCGCGGATGCTTTTTTTTTTTTTCTTTAGTCAAGGTCTCGCTCTGTCACCCAGGCTGGAGTGCAGTGGTGTAATCACAGCTCACTGCGGCCTCAACCTCATGGGCTCAAGAAACCCTCCCACCTCAGCCTCCTGAGCAGTTGGGACTATAGGCACAAGCCACCACGCCTGGCTAATTTTTTTATGTATATTTTGTAGAGACAGGGTTTCACCATGTTGCCCAGGCTGGTCTCAAACTCCTGAGCTCAAGCGATCCGCCCACCTCAGCCTCCCAAAGTGCTGGGATTACAGGCATGAGCCACCGTGCCTGGCCAAATAAATCTTAGGGTATTTCTGGTGAGGAGTAACCAGCTTCTGACCGAGCACAGTGGCTCACATCTATAATCCCAGCACTTCGGGAGGCCGAGACAGGAGGATCTCTTGAGCCCAAAACTTCCAGACCAGCCTGAGTGATATAGTGAGACCTTGTCTCTACAGAAAATTTTAAAAATTAGCTGAGCATGATGGTGGCGAGCACCTGTGATTCCAGTTACTTGGGAGGCTAAGGTGGGAGGATCACTTGAGTCCAGGAGGTGGAGGTTGCAGTGAGTCAAGATCACACCACTGTACTCCAGCCTTTGTGACAGAGTAAGATCCTATATCAAAACAAAACAAAACAAAAACAGAAAAAACACAAAACCTCAGCTTTCCTACCCAAAGAGCTGAGGCTTACCTCTCCAGAAGCAGCATCAATTTCTGCCAGGCAGGGACAATTTTTCCTTTTCATCCCAGAATCTCTCTGGGCAGGGACGGCTTGAGGAGCATCCGAAGAGCAGGTGGGACATTGGTGGACGGCACTTACTTCCAGGCTCGTTAAACTGGTGTGGGGAGCTTAGCCTTGGTGTGAGAGCAAATCCTCTCTAGGAATCTTTTTTGACTGGAACACAAAGGGGAGCAACACAGACACACCTCAGCGAATGCAGCCTGCAGGAGAGACAGACGAGTGTCGACGGAGGATTACCCAGGTGCCGAGGCAAGAGACTGAAGGCACAAACTGTTTCAGGATAGTAAAGAAAATAGTTAGAATAGTTATAATACAAATTAGATATAGAGATGATCATGGACATTATAAATCATTAGTATGAACAATATTAATCATTAGCTTTTAATATTACTCTTTGTTGTATAACCAAGGAATAACCGGTGGGTATAGGGTCAGGTGCTGAAGGGACATCGTGAGAAGTGACCAAGAAGGCAAGAGGTGAGCCCTCTGTCACGCCCGCATAAGGGCCGCTTGAGGGCTCCTTGGTCAAGCAGTAACGCCAGTGTCTGGGAAGACACCCGTTACTTAGCAGACCGGGAAAGGGAGTCTCCTTTCCTTGGAGGAGTCAGGGAACACTCTGCTCCACCAGCTTCTTGTGGGAGGCTGGATATTATCCAGGCCCGCCCGCAGTCATCCAGAGGCCTAAACCCCTCCCTGTGGTGCTGCGCTTCAATGGTCGTGCTCCTTGTCCACTTCCATGTTCCTCCCGTACTCCTGGTTCCTCTTTGAAGTTCTTAGAAGATAGCGGTAGAAGAAATAGTGAAAGTCTTAAAGTCTTTGATCTTTCTGGTAAGTGCACAGAAGAAAACGCTGACATATGCTGCCTTCCCTTTCTGCTTCGGCTATCTAAAAGGGAAGGGCCCACTGCCCCATGATCACGTGACTTGCTTGACCTTATCAATCACTTGGACGACTCACCCTCCTTACCCTGCCTGCCCCTTGTCTTGTATACAATAAATATCAGCGCGCCCAGCCATTCGGGGCCACTACCGGTCTCCCTGTCTTAGTGGCGGTGGTCTCCCGGGCCCAGCTGTTTTCCATTTATTTCTTTGTCTTGTGTCTTTATTTCTTACGATCTCTCGTCTCTGCACACGGGGAGAACACCCGCCAAGCCCCGTAGGGCTGGACCCTACAGATGAGAAATTGAATGATGATACTGCAGTCAGGGCTGTGGGACTGTGGGGCAGGGACATCTAACCTGTCCTTGAAAGTCAGGGAGGTCTTCCTGAAGGAAAGTGAAACCTCCAATCTGGAAACTGAAAGATGATGGGAGTCAGCCAAGCTAAGCAGTGGAGAGCCTGAGTGAATGCATGCACAGAGGTGGGTGGGTGTAGGGAAGCCAGGGAGCCTTTATTCTGAAACAGGGTCTCCCTTTGTCTCCCAGGCTGGAGTGCAGTGGTACAATCATGGCTCACTGCAGCCTCGAGCTCTTGGGCTCAAGTCATCCTCCCACCTCAGCCTCCTGAGTAGCTGGGACCACAAGTGCATGCTACCACACCCAGCTAATTTAAAAAAAATGTTCTGTAGAGATGGGGCCTCGCCATGTTGCCCGGGCTGGCCTCAAACTCCTGGGCTCAAGCAATCCTCCCGCCTTGGCCTCCCAAAGTGTTGGATTATAGGTGTAAGCCACTGCACCCACCCAAGAATTGGATTTCTTTGCCCACATCACTGACTTCTAGGGACAAAGGGTGGGCTCCGGCCCTAATTCACGGCAACAGTGACGTTAGAGATCATCATTCCTTCCATGGACGTATCCCTTCTCCTTATTACGTCCTAATTTTAGCCAGTCTACAGTTACGCTGAAAACCGAAGAACGGTTTTATCACCATGTTTTACAAAGTGCAAATTGAGACCTGGTGAAAAACAGTGACTGGCTAAAGGTCAAAGAGAGGTCATTCATGGAGTTGGGTGGTGGCACCCTTGCAGGATGTACCCCCAGCCACTGGTGGGTTAATCATTACCTCTGCTAACAGCTTGTGATGGTTAACATTAAGTGTCAACTTGGTCAGGTGCAGTAGCCCACGCCTGTAATCCCAGCACTTTGGGAAGCCGAGGCGGGTGGATCCCTTGAGGTCAGGAGCCTGAGACTGGCCTGGCCAACATGGTGAACCCCGTCTCTACTAAAAATACAAAAAATTAGCCGGGTGTGGTGGCAGGCGCCTGTAATCCCAGCTACTTGGGAAGCTGAGGCAAAAGAATCGCTTGAACCTAGGAGACAGAGGTTGCAGTGAGCCGAGATCGTGCCATTGCACTGCGGCCTGGGGTGACAGAAAGAAACTTCATCTCAAAAAAAAAAAAAAAAGTGTCAACTTGATTGCATGGAAGGATGCAAAGTATTGTTTCTGGGTGTATCTGGGTGTTTCTGGGTGTGGCCAGAATAGATTAACATTTGAGTCAGTGGACTGGGACAGGAAGACCCACTCACAGTGTGGGGGACACCATCCAGTCAGCTGCCAGCACAGCTAGAAAAAGCAGGCAGAAGAAGGTGGAAAAAGCCGATTCACTGGGTCCTCTGGGCTTTATCTTTCTCCCGTGCTGGAGGCTTCCTGCCCTTGAACATCAGACTCCTCAAGTTCTTTGGCTTTTGGACTCTTGGACTTACACCAGTGGTTTGCTGGGGGCTCTCAGGCCTTCGGCCACAGATTGAAGCCTGCACTGTCAGCTCCCTACTTTTAAGGTTTTGGGACTGAACTGAGCCACTGCTGGCTTCCTTGCTCCTCAGCTTGCAGACGGCCTATCATGGGACTTGACCTTGTGATCACGTGAGTCAATTCTCCTTAATAAAGCCCCTCTCATATATACGTAGATCCTATTAGTCCTGTCCCTCTAGAGAACCCTGACTAACACACACGTGGAGGAGAGCTCTGAAAACCCGGGCCAGGGACCAGCGTGACTGCTCTGTGGCTGTCCCAAGAGACAGCAACGCTGGGCAAGTTTGCTCGTGAGAAAGGCTGAGGCTTCTCTCAGAATAAAACCTTGGGAAGAGACAACTATACAGCATTCCCAGGGGCCGGCGCAGTGGCTCACGCCTGTAATCCCAGCACTTTGGGAGGCCAAGGCGGGCGGATCACCTGAGGTCAGGAGTTTGAGGCCAGCCTGGCCATCATGGCGAAACCCCATCTCTACTAAAAATACAAAAATTAGCCAGGCGTGGTGGCGGGTGCCTCTAATCCCAGCTACTTGGAAGGCTGAGACAGGAGAATTGCTTGAACCGGGAAGGCAGAGGTTGCAGTGAGCCAAGATCATACCACAGCACTCCAGCCTGGGCGACAAGAGCAAGACTCCACTCAAACCAAACAAACAAAACCTTTCTCTTGTCATGTAACCCATACATACACATACTATGTACCCACAAACATTAAAAATCAAAAATTTAAGACAAAACGAAAACAACGGAAAACCTTTTTTTGAGGAGTCCCTAGGCTTCACCAGTTTGTCAAAACTGGAGCTTGATTGCTGAGACTTTATTTGCATACCCACAATGCATTGTGCACCAAATAATTTTCATCTTTAAAATTACTAGGTCCCTTTTTTCCTTCAATCTATCTTTCCCGAAACTGAGACTGCTGTTCCAGAATTGTCTGAAGAAAAAGGCAGAAGTCAATAGCTCTTTTGGGCAGAAAGAAAGTTACCATTAGCCCGTTGGGAGTAGTCCTTACATGAGAAGTGAGTGCTGCCTATCACAGATATGCACTAGTTTTCATTCAAATTGCATGAATCTTTTACCTTTTACTAAAGATATCTGTGGAGAGGAAACAACTGTGAGTTTTAAGCTAATTTTTTTTTAACACTCTGCATTTCTTAGCGCGGCTTCTTTGAGCAGTCTTAAAAGTAGACACACTAGAAAAGCTGTTATGACGGTTTTTCTATATTCTGAAACATAAACTCAAAACTCCCGTGTTTAATTTTGGAGGACCAGAGCTAGCTTTTGGAGGAGCAGCTGATGTTGGGGGAAAAGGACAATTACCCTCCTACGTAGCTTGAATGGGGCTTGGAGCCAGTGGGGAGGCGTGGGGAGGCGTGGGGAGGCGTGGGGAGGCGTGGGGAGGCGTGGGGGGGGCGTGGGGGGGGCTGTGGGCGGTTGCTTAAGGGCCTGAGCCTGGGGTCAGAATTTGTTTTGTTTTTTTGAGACAGAGTCTCGCTCTGTCGCTCAGGCAATGGCGCGACTTCGGTTCACTGCAACCTCCGCCTTCCAGGTTCAAGCGATTCTCAGCCTCCCGAGTAGCTGGGATTACAGCTAATTTCCCGGCTAATTTTTGTATTTTTAGTAGAGACGGGGTTTCTCCATGTTGGCCGGGCCAGTCTCGAACTCCTGACCTCAGGTGATCCGCCTGCCTCGGCCTCCCAAAATGCAGGGATTACAGGCGTGAGCCACCGCTCCCGGCCTGGGGATCAGGATTTTTTGCGATGGATTTCCTCCCTCCTTTACTGGGACAGACCCTGCTAGTTTTCCCTCCCCAGTACTCAACCTCTCCCTAGAATCTCCCATCACTAGCAGGGCTCACGGCTACCTGGAGGCATGACTACATTTCCCAGCCTCCCTTGCGGTTGAGATGAATTCTGGCCAATGGGACTGGCTGGAAAATTCACTTTCTCTTGCGTTTCATCAAACCGATTGGGTCTCGGGAGGACTAGCTGCGCGCTAGGCACCGCTCCTTAGGCGGGGATACTGGGTAGAAGAGTTCGGGGCTGCCTTCTTCTACACCGAGAAGCCGGTGGGAGCAGCGGGGGAGCTCGCCCAGAGCCCCTGCTTCATTTAATTGGCTAGTCCATTGGTCCCCAACCTTTCTGGCACAAAGGACCCGGTTCGTGGAAGACAGTTTTTCCAAGGGCGGGGGAAGGGTGGGTACGGGATGTGGACAGTTTCAGGTTGAAACTGTCCCCCTCAAGTCATCAGCCATTAGATTCTCATAAGGAGTACTTACCTAGATCCCTCGTATGCGCAGTTCGCAGTAGGGTTCCTGCTCCTAGGAGAATCTGATGCCCTACTGACCTGACACGATGGGGAGGTCAGGCGGTAGTGCTCGCTTGCCAGCCGGTAACCCTCTGTCGGTCAGTGGCCGGGGTTAAAAACCCCTGGTGTAATTAAACAAGCCAAGCCCCGTTCCTTGGTCAAAAGCAGTAAGCCACCCCAACGTGTCACGGTAGCAACTCCCCAGAGATGCAGTAGAACTAACGCCTACCATAAAAAGGTGAACCTCTAGAAAAGCCCAAAAATTCGCGTTTGTATTAAACGCACTTCTAAGGGCTGATGAACCCACATTTCAGAGCTTACAGATTTACTAGCATACGTCTGTTTTTAGTACCACTCAAATAAGCCCTGCTGAAAAAGCAAGGCCTCAAAAAATTGGTTTAAAACTCAGAGTTGTTCCTCTCCACGGAAATCTTTAGTAAAAGGCGAAAGATTTGTACGATCTGAAGAGAAACCAGAGTATGATCGCAAGCGGCGGCACTCAGTTCTCACGTAACGACTACTCCCAACTGGCTAATGGTAACTTTCTCTCCGTCCAAAAGAGCTATTGACTTCTGCCTTTTTCTTCAGACAATTCTGAACAGCAATCTAGGTGTCGGGAAAGATAGGTTGAAGGAAAAAGGGGATAGTAATTTTAAAGACGAACATTATTTGGTGCACAATGCATTGTGGGTATGCAAATAAAGCCTCTCCAATCGCGCTCCAGTTTCAGGAAATCTCTTAAATGGTTCATGCGTTTTAGCGCTGCGCCTGAGGCCACCACGCGGGGGCAGAGCAGAGTCTGGTCCCAGAAGACAAAGGCTGACTTTATCTGCTTTACTTACAGCGGCCGAGCTATTAGGTCGGTGCAAAAGTAATTGCGGTTTTTGCAATTTAATTGCAAAATTAACCTAAGTAAACAATTTTTTTGAACGTAAAAAAAAAAAGTAAAAAAAAATTATCTTGGCTGGACTCCGTGGCTAACTCTTGTAATCCCAGCACATCCGTGGCTCACTCTTGTAATCCCAGCACTTTGGGTGGCTGAGGCGGGCTGATCGACTGAACTAGGGGTTTGAGACCAGCCTGGGCAACATAAGGAGAGCCTGTCTCCAAAAGAAAAAAAAAAAAAAATTCTTACACTTATAGCCACTCCAGGCCTACTGAAGCCCTGGGGATTGGGCCCAGCCCCCTGAGTCTGAACTCATCCTCCGTGTGATTCTGACGGAGGCTACATTGAGAACCTCTGTTGGGCAACTGTTCTGCCTGAAATACGGAGAGTGAGGAGTTTGGGAGACACATTACTGACTGAGCAGGGGAAGGCCTGGGAAAGGCTGTGAAATGAGGAGAGAAAAGGCCAGGGAAGGCAGCCTTTTCCCACCACCTTCCCACCTGGGGGATGGTGGCATAAAAGGAGGGGGCAGTGCAGGAGCCTGTGAAAGGGACTAGAGAAATTCAGGGAGGAAGAAGGAAAACCTGGACTGGGAGCCGTAGAGAAACCGAGGGCAGAGAAGAAGTTCCCTGGCTGGGCGCCGCGGCCCACGCTTGTAATCCCAACACTTTGGGAGAGAGGAAGGAAACAGTAGGTGAGGAGGGGCAGGAGATGGGGAGGGGGCGGTAGGTGGCTCCTGGTTGCAGAAGGGAAGGAGGAGCGGTGCAGGGGTCTCCCTGCAGTGATCCTGGTCCATGGAGCCCGGGCCCACCCCCAACCCCCATTCTCTCACTCCCCTGCAGCCCCTCCTTTGCTGGCCCCTATTTCCCTCCATCTTCTCACCTGGGAAGATCCCAGCACCCCATCTTTCCAGCCTCTGCTCTGTAGCAACTGAACTGCTGGAAAAATCCCACAGCAAGGGAACCTCGGATACAGGCCTCCACTTCACCTGTTTCTCTCATTGGCTCCACTTCCCCACTCAAGATGTCCCTTTTAGGCTGAGTGCGGTGGCTCACGCCTGTAATCCCAGCACTTTGGGAGGCGGAGGCAGGCGGATCACCTGAGGTCAGGAGTTCGAGACCAGCCTGGCCAACATGGCAAAACCCTGTCTCTACTAAACATACAAAAATTAGCTTGATGTGTTGGTGTGCGCCTGTAATCCCAGCTACTTGGGAGGCTGAGGCACAAGAATCACTTGAACCCAGGAGGCGGAGGTTGCAGTGAGCCGAGATCGCACCATTGCACTCAAGCCTGGGGGACAAGAGCAAAACTCCGTCTCAAAAAACAAACAAAAAAACAAACACACAAACACCCCTTTTAACTCTTCTCTCCCCTTATCTTCCTGCTCTGCAACTCACTGTGTCAGCCCACAACATCCCAGGGGCTTCCTTGAGAGGCCAGACACCCTCATCTTCCCAGCCCGCAGCAGCCGCATCTGCCTCATCTTCTGCCTCCTCCTGGGCTTTGAACCCCAACTCCACAAAGATGGTGCCCCTTCCATGCAGTCCCCGAGCAGCACCCTCCGTGTCCCTCCCGCTGTGGTCGTCTGAATGTCGTGGCCCCTCACACATCCGCAGGCTGAAATGTAATCTCCAAGATGATGGTATTGATATGTGGGGCCTCTGGGAGGTGATTGGGTCATGGATGGGATCAGTGTCCTTATAAAAGGGTTTGAGGGAGCAAGTTTGTGCCTTTTACCCTCCCATCAAATGGGGACACAGGGAAGGTGCCATCCATGAGGAACAGGCCTTCACTAGACCACAAATCTGCTGGTGCCTTTGATATTGGACTTCCCAGCCTCCAGAACTGTGAGCAACAAATAAATTTCTGCTGTTTATAAATTACCCAGTTTAAGGTATTTTGTCATAGCACCTGAACTAGGACACCCCCCCACTGGCTCATCTTCTAGACAGATAAGTAGGCTTCCTTATCTCCTAACCTGAGAGAGAGAGAGAGAGAGAGGGGTGAAGGAGGAAGTGGGGAAGGAAGAAAGACTTCCTAAACCTCATCACCATCAGCCACAACAAAGCAAAGCACTTTTACTTTGTATTTCTATTAAAAAAAAAAAATCTGGTGGAAATCTCTTTAGTAAAAAGAAACTTGGGGCTGGGCGCAGTGGCTCAGACCTGTAATCCCAGCACTTTGGGAGGCCAAGGCGGGCGGATCCCCTGAGGTCAGGAGTTTGAGACCAGCCTGGCCAACATGGTGAAACCCCGTCTCTACTAAAAACACAAAAATTACCTGGGCATGGTGGGCGCCTATAGTCCCAGTTACTTGGGAGGCTGAGGCAGAAGAATCGCTTGAACCCAGGAGGCAGAGGTTGCAATGAGCCAAGATTGTGCCACTGCATTCCAGCCTGGGGGACAGAGCAAGACTCCGTCTCAAAAAAAAAAAAAAAAAAAAAAAAAAAAAAAAAAAAAAAGATTTCCAAACAGGGACTCAAACAGATGCCTCTACATGAGCATTGTTCATAACAGCCCAAAGATGATAACAATCCCAGTGTCTATCAGCTGATTAGTGGATAAACGAAATGTGGTTTATCCATACAATGGAATACTATTCAGCTGTAAAACAGAGGGAAATTCTGGTACACACTACATTGTAGATCAACTGAGGATGTATGCTAAATGAAAGAAGCCAGCCACAAAAAGGCATAGATTGTATGACTGTACTTCGGTGAAATATCCAGAAGAGGGGATAATAGGAGTTCTTGGGTATTGCATAGAGTTTCTGTTTGGGGTGATGAAAAATTTTGGAAATGGATGGCAGTGATGGTATTATGACATTGTGAATGTTTAGTTTATTTTTAGTTTTTAGAGATGAGGTCTTGCTCTGTTGCCCAGTTAATTTTTATTTTTTATTTTTTATAGAAACAAGATCTCACTATATTGACCAGGCTTAATTTGTTTATTTTTATTTTTTGTGGACCTGGAATCTTGCTATGTTGCTCAAGCTGGTCTCAAACTTCTGGCCTCAAGTGATCCTCCTGTCTCAGCCACCCAAGGTGTTGGGATTACAGGTGTGAGCCACCACGCCTGGTCCATTTTCCCTGATCAGGGACAATGCGTTGTTATGTGTGATATTTTGTGTGATTTGTTTGTTTGTTTGTTTGTTTTAGGTGGAGTCTCGCTCTGTCGCCAGACTCTGGAGTGCAGTGGTGTGGTCTCAGCTCACTGCAACTTCCAACTCCCTGGTTCAAGTGATTATCCTGTCTCAGTCTCCCAAGTAGTTGGAATTACAGGCACACGCCACCATGCTCAGCTAATTTTTGTTGTTGTTGTTGTTGAGACGGAGTCTCGCTCTGTCACCCAGGCTGGAGTGCAGTGGCCGGATCTCAGCTCACTGCAAGCTCCGCCTCCCGGGTTTACGCCATTCTCCTGCCTCAGCCTCCCGAGTAGCTGGGACTACAGGCGCCCGCCACCTTGCCCGGCTAGTTTTTTTGTATTTTTTTTAGTAGAGACGGGGTTTCACCATGTTGGCCAGGATGGTCTCGATCTCCTGACCTCATGATCTGCCTGCCTTAGCCTCCCAAAGTGCTGGGATTACAGGCATGAGTCACTGCGCCTGGCCTGGTGTAAGATTTTAGCATATAGCCTGTATTAGTTATGTTAGGGAAATTTCCTTCTATCATCAGTTTTCTCTGTGCTGAGTTTTTTTTATCAAATGCTTTTCAGAATCTATTGAGATAGTTGTATACATTTTCTCCTTTGAATTCAGCGATATGGTGAATTACCTTGCTAGACTTTTGTTCTGTTCTGTTTTGTTTTGTTTGAGACAGAGTCTCACTCTGTTGCCCAGGATGTAGTATAGTGGCAGGATCTCGGCTCACCATAACCTCTGCCTCCCAGGTTCATGCAATTCTTGTGCCTCAGCTTCCTAAGTAGCTGGGATTACAGGTGTGCACCACCATGCCTGGCTAGTTTTTCTGTTTTTAGTAGAGATGGGGTTTCGTCATGTTGGTCAGGCTGGTTTCAAACTCCTGACCTCAGATGATCCACCCACCTTGGCCTCCCAAAGTGCTGGGATTACAGGCGTGAGCCACTGCTCCTGGGCCATTGCTAGATTTTTGAATTTTAATTACTTTTGCATTCCTGAGATAAGGCCCATTTAAGTCATAATACATTTTTCCTTATAATTTGATTCTTTCTTTTTCTTTTTTTGAGACAGTGTCTTGTTCCATCGCCAAGGCCGGAGTGCAGTGACTCAATCTCAGCTCACTGCAGCCTCAACCTCCCAGACTCAAGCAATCCTTCCCCCTCAGCCCCCCAAGTCACTGGGAATACAGGCTAAGATTTTTTCTTTTTGAAAATGAAAAATGCAAGACTCAAAGATCAAAACTATGTAAAAACATATACTCAGAGAAGTCCACTCTTGTCCCTAGCCCCTTCACCCAGTTTCCACTCATCCCCATTGTCAATAGTTTCTTTAAGAAAATTTGTTTACATTTTGTTATTTGTAATAGAGATGGGGTCTCACTATGTTGCCCAGGCTGATCTCTAACTCCTGGGCTTAAGTGATCCTCCCAACTCCCAAAGTGCTGGGATTTCAGG